CCCCCCCGTTAACACGCTTTTTATTTTCTTGTACACGTCGAATCGTGTGCAATTAAACATATCAAACAACTTTTATATTGCATTCATCCGTGAAACCCGCCACCATCTTTGGTTTTTATTATATTCATTGGTGAATACCCCCAACAGTTTGACGTTTCCGAACGAACCCTAAGAAAAATAAAAACTAAGGGTGGGTAACTCAGCAAATTTATAGAAGTTGACTCAATGACTCCAACTCACTTTAAGGAGTCAGCTCATTCAACTAACTCATTTGACTCTTTGTATGTTACACTCATTCGTATCGTAGACTCGTTTTGAGGCATAGATGCGGTATAGCGGCCGTTGAGATAAAACAAAACTTTAAAGTGGGCGGGGTCAGCTCCTTTCTACTGATTTGAAAGGTGTAATTTTTTTTGTGTGCAAATTAATAGGGCGGTGCTAGGTGGAATTTTCAATATTTTCAAAAGCTTATATTTCGAAACCTATTGTACCGAATTTCAAAATGTGGATATGGTTGGAAAGGCAATTGATTTGATATGCACATCTTTATATATCTTACATACATACATATTTCGAGAAAAACTAAAAAAAAAAACGAAATTATAAGAATTTGTGAGATTTGACATAACACCAACAATACAAAATACATGTGGTTGTTGTTGTTGTATTCTTGCCACCACCTTGTATAAATTCGCCTCGTGCAAAAACAAAATGCAAGACTTTGCCATGCTAAACACTGTGGCGAAGCGAGAGAGTTATATGGACAAATATGAGCCACTATGATTCAATTGATTCACGTGAGCCCTACGGCATCAACTGAGTTACTGAGTTACATTTTTTTTGGACAGGGATTCTGAGTTACCGATTCACTTATAGGAATCAACTCAATAACTCAACTCTGAGTTGAGTTACCCACCTCTAATAAAAACATAACCAAAAAAAAAATCAATTAGCAAATTCACACGTTTTTGGCAACAAATCTTTTCTCTGGTATTTCTTTGTAAATACCATCAAGAAGACCAGGTGAGTGAACGACAGTTTGGTTGGAGCACCTTTTTTCTACACCTAGAGCAGGAGCAACACATTTGGCCCCAACAATTGGAGTAGCGGCGAAATACATAAGTATTGGAATAGTAAGTATATTTGGAGTACTAATTGTGTTTGTTTGCAGGAGCAACTGCAACAATAATTTCGCCAGCGCTCCAGAAAAGCAGCAGCACAAATACCGCCAGGGCTCCGGCGGTAAGTATAAAGAGTAAGTGCAGTGAAAGTGAAAGTGAAGTGCAGTGAGGTTAAAAGTAGCGCCGGCTGTATTGCCATTTGTCGAGGCGCGAGTGCGGAACGCCGGCACTAGGTGCCATACCGTCAGGCGTCAGTGCGCCTCGCTGCACGGCCCCTACCAGCGGCCGATAGTTAGTAAGAGCGCCGGCTGTATTGCCATTGAGGAGGCGCAAGTGCTGAACGCCGGCACTAGGTGCCATACAGTCAGGCGATCAGTGCGAAACAAGGCCCCCACCAAGCGGTCCAACGCGATAGCAAATTCGCACCAGCAAGGCCCCCACCAGTGGTCCACCGCGGGAGCAACACGCAATTTAAAGGCCCCCACCAAGTGGTCCACCGCGATAGCAAGTTCGCACCAGCAAGGCCCCCACCAAGTGGCCCATCGCGGGAGCACAGCCCCATTAGTGGCAACAGAGTAAGCTGTAAGATAAGGTAAGCCTTTCAATTTGCCACGTCTATTCGCGAAAAACGACTGGGAAAGGGGTGCGAAAATTGCAATAGGTCGTGCGTGAGTCCCAGAGCCACCCCTTCCATATATAAGTATATATATACATATATATTTTTTTTTAATACGTATACATTTTCGAAATTTGAACGGTATCGGGGTAGGATAATCCGTTCCTTTTCGCGAAATTCGAGCGGTAAAGTGGTGGAGGAATAGCGGAAATTCCTTTGGGTTACCGTATCCACACACCGTTGTGTTTATATATATATA